CAACTGAAATCATAGATCACAGAGATGCCGCACAGCTCTTGACAGCCACTAGGTCCGTGTCAATGAATCAACCTCACTCACTAAACTGAATTCACACATAAAGCACCGTGGAGCTTCGGGCGTGTAACCTTGAGCCTGTCTGAACATCATAAAGCCAGCGGGAACACTGATAAGATACTGCATGTTTGCGTACTGTATACACTCTGCTGGGTATAGAACTCCTTCTCTGCAGGTGGCACTAAACCAAATGATCTATTTGGGCTTCAGAACAGCTTGTGTGGGTTTCAAAAAATACAGGAGGACTAATCAATCTTAGATGTTGGACTGTTCTGCTGTTCCTGTTTTTCTGTATGAGGTCCAAAAACGTATATCACATCTGACATGCCATGGTTTTGAAGAGGCTGTTGCTGTGAATTGTATTCTTGAATTGCTCGTAATTGGTAAAAAAAAAAAAAAAAAAAAGACAATGCAGCAAGTAAAACTGCTTAAAGGTCACATATTATGCAAAATTTACTTCAGTGTTTTTCTAACACTAATATGTGTCTCTCGTCTGTCTACAAACCCTCCAGTTATGAGAAAAGTCCATCCTCTCCGTCTTTTGCCTGCTCCACTTTTCAGAAAATGTGTGCTCAAACAGACCGTTTTGGAGATTTTCCCTTCATGACATCACAAAGGGCAGTAGCCCCTCCCCCAGGTGGGTGACACTCCCACAGCTAGGTGTTTGTTCTGCCCTCTGAGTCTGCCTTCTCACCGTAAACAATAGGACATGGAGTGAGAAAGCCTGAGCTACCCAAGCCCTTCCAGAGGGGGCGTGGTCAGACACAGCTCATTTACATTTAAAGGTACAGACACAGAAACAGCCTGTTCTGAGCAGGGCTGAAATAAAGGGGTTTATAGGCATGATCAAATACAGGATCAGAGTGGATGATGGACTAATGTTGGGTCTTTGTAATATAGCAATGAGTCAGGCTGTTTTACCTGCCTCTCGAGATAACATTTGTTATGAATTGGTGCTATACAAATAAAGATTGATTGATTGATTCACTAAACAAACTTTAGCAGGCCTCCTGTGTGTAATGTGTATGTGGAAATAGGTTGCTCTTTATGTGCCCTTATTTTGAAAGGGGGCTCATGAGCAGAACCAGGTGTGGCCTCCTGTATTGTATGTTTATGTCTGTGAGCAGTTGTCAAGGTAAATGCTTCCACAGTTGGGGGGATCATATGGCTTAAATTAGCAGTTGCTTCCTCCACCCCCCAGCTCTCTGTTCTCTCCATAACCTCCCCGTAACACATGCACAGAGATGCACAGAGGCCTACCTGATACATACTATTCATCACTAATAATGAAAGTTATCATCACCTTTATCAGCTGCAGCGTCTGAACAGCCTCCTCATGGAGGGTGAGTCAGCAACTTCTTGTGTTTTTAACTTTAGCTGTTGAGACTCAGTCTGGTCCTCATTTCTATGTCAGCAGGGGTTCAAGCCGTCCTGGAGACAACGATGAAAATAATGTACAGTGATGAAAATCTAAAGGGAAACCGGTGTGCTCACTGTGATTATACTGGTTTCTCCTGGGACTTGTTGACATCAGGCCAGTGGCCTGTACTTCAAGGTATAGGACTTGGGGTATTGCCATTTTAGTTTCTGCTCACATCTAGTCTGCTGCTGACCAGGCTATGTCCTTTTAAAAAACACTTACAAAGAGGAAAACGTGTGAGCGCACATCCAAGCAAAATGACTACTGGTGCAGTTTTTATATATGCAGAAAAAAGAGAGAGGTCTGCACACTGTTCAGCAACTTTATTTTCTACAGGGCGATGTATCAGGGCAAGACGTGCAAATAGTTGCCCTGTATGAAATGTCGTCGGTCACTTTGAGCTGAACGGCGTGCAGACCTTTACCTTTTCAAAGCACTGCCTCCAATCAATCCTCCTGATTTTCAATCAATCAGTTTTCCTAATAAAAGTTATCTCAGGCAGACCCACAACATTAATCTACCATGAGCACAACAATTAGCAAAGTAACAGTAGCAAAGACAAAGTACCTTTTTCAACAAGCAGGAACCTCGAGCAGGAGCAGACTCATGGTGGACAGTGATCTGCTGAAACTGTGCTGGGATTGGAAAGTGGGATAGAGAGAGATGCAAAAGAAGGAGAAGGATAGAGACAAATAAAGCAACGACAACAATAACATCAAAAGGAGTTATAGCTGCAACACCAGTGATAATGGTTAAAGTATGTGCACTATTAACAGCAACAACAAAGTATGATCATACGTCGATTTTGGAGTCTGTACATTGATCGAGAGGGAAGTTAAGAGTGTTCAGAGTCGCACAGTTTGGATTTAAAACATATGACTGTACCTTTTCAACTGAGACTGGCTGAATGCTGAAGCACCTCCACATTCACACTGATGGCAGAGCGTGACCATCAAGAGTTTTTCATTAATCACAGTGTTACTTATAGGCATGCCCTGATGTTTTGGAGGTGATATTAGAAGCCTTAAAGTTGTTAATGTTCGCCTGTTGTTTTATCTGCATTCAGCAGCTGCAGATTTCATCTCAAGTTTCATACTCTTTTATATTTGTCTGCTATAATAATTCTCTATTTTGCTTTGTTTTATGCTGTCATCTACTAGTACACTTTCCATGTTAGTGTAGCATGTGGGCAAATTTTAAATAAGCATTTAAGCCAAATTTAACAAAAGAAGAAATAAGGTAGGTCTCTCGGAGCTCAGGTGTGTGTATCAACAAAATCCAAACACAGGTAAGTTTAAATAATAATAATTGTATTTCACAAAAATACTTTCAATATAACAAAACAATAGAGGCCTTCAAGTTCAAACTCAAACAAGATAAATGTCCTCTTTCCTAATCGGAAAGGATCTCTTTAGGTCCATTTATGGAGGTTCACTGAGGTCACTCCCCTCTCAAAGAAAAAAAATAGAGGGCTAAATCAAATTCAATTAACCTGGGTTACATTAGTGATGAGTTCAATTGTCACAAACAACACACCTTTTACGTGAATGTGCTCATAGACCAGCGAAACCTGGGTTGACTTACCAAGTTGGTAACCTGCAGCATATGTTGCGTAGCATTTAGTTGTCAGGCTAAGAGAAGACGGACATTCAAACATCCTCCTGGTTAGTTGAACTTGTTTTGTGTTTGGTGAGCAGTGTATGGAGTCTACAGGTGTGGATACCAGGTTCTGTGGTTATGATCAAAAGCAATGAAAACACATTCTGCAGATGCAAATTTGAGATGCGGTTATACCAGGATGCATGATCGTGCCTCAAATGTCTGAAATGTTTTAACCATTCAGATTTATTTAATGAAGAGAAGTGCAGTTTTGGCCGACACAGTTTTTTTCCAGGCACATGTTTGGGACCCAATGAAACTGTCTCTTGCGACCCACTTTTGGGTCCAGGGCCCACCAGTTGAGAACCACTGCTGTAGATTATTACACAGATCGGGGGGGGGCTCACTTGATAAACTGTCAGAACAGAACAGAGCATCAAGCACGTTAAGTTAAATGTCAACAAGCAAAGCAAATACCTGCAGAGTTGGCTGCTTCCAGAACACAAAGGTCGTGACCTCTGAGGCTTTTTTCTCAGAATGGAAAAAAAAAGTGCAGTTTGTATTTTGTAGTGTTTATTTAAACAGTGTTGTGTTTTTATAAGGGAGCACACCGACTTGTTTTAAACTTCACTTTGAGCATAAGGAAAGAATAAAATGTTTGAAAACCTCTGACCACCATAATGTATCAGATTACTTCAGAGTGAACCGTTTTCAGGTAATCATGTCGAGCAGCAGTTTCAATGCTTGACACGATACCGACACCATGCATGTGCAAATGAATGCTACAGTTCCCTTTTGGGAGGCGTGTAAACAAAAAGTGTAGTATCAGTAAAAAGTATTTCACCTACATTTGTTTATATCCAAGAAATTGGAAAGGTTGTAAAATATCCTGAATGATCTATTGGCAGTTCCTTTTGCGGTTTATCCACCATGATTTTTAAGGCAAAGTCTGCAGTAAACAACCATCAAAAGATTAACAGTGTGTGCTGATTGACACATGCACTAATCAGACAAATTTTATATTTTGTGTCAGTAATTTCTGCTTTAAAAAAAACAGCTTTTTTGAATGGATGTGTTTGTGACATCTGGTGCATTTGCAGCCAGCCTCAAGTGGACACAATACTGGCTTCACTATATGATTTATTTTACAAAATTGAGACTGTAGACAAATGATGTCTGAAGAAGAATCCTTTTGGGGATGCAAACCCGCTTGTCAGTGTGGTTTGGCCTTTAAATGTGTTTTTTTCTCTCAACAAGGGGAGGTGATTGGAGCTTTTCATCGTGGTGTCGAGTGAATGCTGCATCATGTTGGTCGTGCTGTTTGTGGAGTTCTCTGTCTTCATCTAATATCTGCACAGTTTTTGTCTCGGCTGTTATCTTCTCACCTCTTTTCATTTTCTGTCTTGGGGAAGCCAAAATGCTTACACACATCCGATTTTAAAGACGGTGGTGCTTCCTCAATTTCTAAATTTTGCATTGCAGCTGCCAACCTCCTCCGCTCTACAGCTGCTGACGCTCAATATATTATTATTGCGATTCATTTTTCAGAGTACCAATGTCAATCTTGACATCATTGAATCGATTTATCAGGATTTTACAATTTATCTTTACATCCCTGCTGGATGTTGCCATTGGTTGAAACTGAACATTATTACAAGAATGGCCCACTTGATTTCTTTTCGTCTTCTTGGTTTTCCGTGGATTATATCCCAGGCCTATGAGATTTTACCAGGTTAAAAAAATATAGTGACTCAAGGATGTTAAAACAGGTGTGATTGGTTCAGACACTGACCCTCAAACCCGCCATTTACAGAAAAACGATGTCATCTCTCGTACAGTTATTTGGGTACTTCCTCTCGTTGTCGTTCTAAAAGATGTAAACACAGAAATGTACGACTTCCAAAAGACAACAGGAAGATTTTTTTACTTTTCAGTTTTATTTGTAAATGCATCTTGGATAGAACAAAGAAAAAAATATATAATATATTCATATGTACTGAAATGCTATGTACATATTTAGGGTTTACACTAAAAATCTTCACAAGCACTGATTTGTTTTTAAGATATGGTCTCAGGGTCGTCTCTGTGTGGGACTCCTGGATGCAGCGATGCACACTCCTGCATATTTACATACATTCATAGGATGCGATAAAACACCTGTGTTCACACAAGCATTACAAATTCAAAAATTGAATAAAAAGGAATGATGTACAATGTTGTGTACCCCTGCTTGTTGTCACTTTACACAAATGAAGTACGCATGGACGGCATGGTCACACCCCTACATATTCACAGCGGGGCGCGGTACACTTGCAGTGAGGGTTATTACAAAGTGTGCCGTAGGCCTCGAAGGGGTGTTGTGACAACATTTCTCAGAAGATCATCCTCCTGGTAGTTCAGCACCACGGTGTGTAGAGTGTCCACTTTAACTGCCAGACTGCAGCGTGTCTCACAAAGCTGTTCCAGTCAGTCAGTCACGTGACGCAGTGTTGAGGCAGATTTTGTGTCAAGTTGTCAGCAAAAAAAAAGAAAGAAGTTCTGATAATAAAAGCAGACTGAGACATTCAGTTCTATGGCTATGCACTGACTGCTGTCCCATGACACCTTTTGAACAGTCATTTAAAAACCTCATGAAAAGGTCGATCACTGAAGAGCCCGATTTCATCGAACCATTCGGCTCTCCAGTGAGGATTTTGTGGTACAGTAAGGCCAGAAAAGTCAGAGAAGTAGAAGAGCGGGTAGGTACACATGACTTCCCTTAATAATACAATGAACAAAGTTCAATTAACACTGATCAGAAGGCTGATTCAACAATCACTGTGCGCTTAACCTTTCAGCTGGCTTTCATTTTTGCATTTCTTACGTTGCCTTGTCATCCCCCTCCTCGAGTCAGCAGGTTTAGGGTCTGTGTTCACTAATGGCTTATTTATTTTGCGCCGGAAGCGCCCAAAACCTCAGTTTCTGTTGCTCGGTTACAAAAGCTGACTTCTGCTTCCCTTGATAGTGACTGTTAGGTCTGTTTTATGTAGCTCTCTCTGTGCTTAATATTTCCTTTATTCAAGGAAACATCACCAACAAAACATGAAGATAATGAAAATGAATTGTCTCCTTGTGCAAAGAGCAGCTTCACACCTGGAAATGTTACCCTCGAAAAGTCAGACAAGTTCATCCACCATCACTGTTGTTTTTTAAAAGCTGATATCAGAAGTCCCGCCCATTATTTATTTTGATTGGTCGATGAGGGAGAATTGATTGACATTGACAAGCGTAGGCGATGTTCCTTAAGTTGAATTATTTTCAACAGAGAGCGCTCTGAGTGCAGCCACAGCAACAAATAGCTGACGACGAGGGGGAATCTTTGTGCTCAGGACGGTGAGTGCTGAAAAACGCTGAAATGCAAATTAGGAAATTTAGAATGTCGCTGCCAGCACAAAAAAAAAAAACGCTGTCAATAGACACAGGCCCTTAAAACGAGGCTTTAAATGATGAGAAGAGTCCTGGTATCTTATCATAACATTCCCCTTAATTTGTTATGCAATCAGTAGTCCATGACCACATTTAAAAAACAGGTCTCTCCCTGTGCATCCACACCAAGTGCGATCATTAACTTTGACTGTTACTGTCTATGAACCGTGCAGCATAAACAAGGACAAAGCAATCAGAGGAGCCTCCCGGGAGAAACCTCTGTGGACCCCAGGAAGAGTACCTACGACTCTGTAGCAGCTAATAAGGATCCCAGTGACCTTCTCTCTGGCGTCCTCCACATTGCATCACATGAGGAATGTCCAAGACGTTGGCAGCTTTCAGGAAGATAAAAGGCAGTTGTTTTGATCCAGGTAGAATGGAAATGCAAGGCTCTAACCAAAGCTATGGCATAATCCAGACCGAATGAAAAGAAGCTGGTCTTATCTTCTGCTGACGAAGGCGATAAAGACAGAACAGATAGCAGTACCAAAGCACCGACAACAACCTGACACTGATTACAGGATGGTTACTGTGTTGGTTTACTTTTGTACAATAAATTAGAACAATCGAAAGACTGCTGAAACAAAAAAAAGTCAGGTGTGCCTCAACTCCCTTTGCGCACACACACTCGTACGCTCTCCTCACACTTTGTTGTCTTTAGTCTGTGTGAGAGAGTTCTCAGCGGCCCTGGTGATCCCAGCGATGCGAGCAGCGCGGTGTCAGTTTGCTGAGCGAACTGTCCGGCTGCTCCGTGGAAAGCGGTGGACCTTGATGTGTTTTGATAGGTGGTCGCTGCGGGCGAACTTCTTCTCGCACACCAGACACTGGTAGGGCTTGACACCTGAGTGGGACCGCCGGTGTCGAGAGAGTTCATCCGACCTGGAAAACCTTGAGAGGAGAGAAAAATAAATGTTTTTACTTTTTAGGAAGAGCAAGAGGATACAATCAGACGAGTGGATACAGGACTCTGATGATGCAGGACTGAGCCCGACATCTACACACAAATATCTGCAGAATGTAGAATCAGCGTTTATGTTGTCTGTCAGGGGTCCTTAAACTTTTCAGCATGCAACACCGAAAATAAAGGTGCAAGAGACCGGGGATTCCCACTGTCCCTGAAGGTGTTTATGGCATATAACATAGTGCACAGCCACGCAAACTCACACGAGCAAAACCATGTTTAAGCACAATTGTCCCCCCTCCCCCCATCCCCCCCTCTGTGCCTGCACTCACACTGCTCCAGGACTAACCGGGCCAGAGCACGGTTAACCTCCTCTACATAACATTGTAACACAACACATGCATGTCTTTATGTGATCATGAAGTGTGCTTAGTTTACAAGACAGACGGACTCCAAGAATCCAAAATAAGTAAAGACTGAGTTTTTGGCTTATTTTGAGTCAGATACAGCCAGAACAATCCGGGATTTCTCGATAATGAAGGCTGTCAGCGTTGTATACCCGTGTTTGTGCTCTTGCATGAACTGTACCATGCCAAAGCACACCTCTTCAGAGCGTGGAAGTGTACTGTGCACGGTACAGATTGTCTAGTTTAGTGCGCCCTAAGAGGTTTTCAGTCAGGCCCTCCAGTATTTATTCAGCACACATAGTTTGAGCAGGCTGCAGCGTTTCTCTCAGAGCAGATTGTGACCAAAGCGAGGCTTCAACTTATCATTGCAGTCTGCCTTCGCAGCAGAGAGGCCCCACATGAGCCACGTGGATTCAGCGAGGGACCCAAAAGTAGACTCATGTTTGATAAAATACTTTTGTTTGTTTCAAAATCATGTTTTAACGCCATTAAGACACACAATTTACATTTTATTTTTGACAGTAATTATGAAAGGTTCTTCATTCGGTTGCAGTCAGTTTGATAAAGGGGACATGAAAAGGACATGGGGCTCATTAGTCTTGACTTTGGATCTTGTGGAGAAAGTGAGTGATACCAGATGAAACACTTTGTATCACAGTTTGTCTCTCCTCTATGTGTGTTCATTTAAAAAGAGGATCACATTACACTCGTCTTAAAAAGGCCGATCGCCCCGATAATGCCCTCAGGATGATTTACAGTTTTTTTAAACTCGTGTTTCTCATAAGCTCGCCTCTTGGGTCATCACGAGTTGATGACAAGCACTCGCAACCCCGGGCTGTTTAGTCTAGGGGTCCTAAAAAAAGCTTCTGTCATGATAACTTAAGTTCACAAATTAAGTTGTTAAAATTGCATTAATAGTCATACAATTGTGAAAATTGGCACAGGGTCACACCTACACATTCACACACTGATGGCAGAGGCTTCTGTAAATTCAGAAGTAATTAATCCCATTCATACACACTCATACGCCCGATGCAGCGGGAGCAACACGGGGTTAAGTGTCTTGCAAGGACACATTGGACATTTGGCTGCAGGAGCCGTCTCTCAGCCTTCGACTCTACCAACTGAGCCACAGTTTGCAGTTATCCTCCAAAACTCAAATGACGACAAGAAAAATAGAACCGCCAAACAAACTCTGATGTAAATGATGTTTTAAATCACTTCATGGTCAATATCCAGTCGTATTAAACTTCCAGCGACTGTTTTTTTAATCATGAGGGAACTATTTTATGGCTCCTGAACTCAAATACATTTACTGTATGTTGAGGGGATACATGTGTTTTCTGGATATTCCACAGCGCCAAACTTTCCAAGTGCCTATAGTACGCTTTAGTACACTTTGCATATTTTAAAAATCTAAATCTGGCAGCTCCACGTTTCCCAAGTTCTGCACACACACACAGACTCCGAGGCCAGAAACTTCTCACTGAGCTCCCCAGTGTAATTATGTGTCATGAGCAAGAATGCTTCACATGTTGAAAACACAACTTATCTGCCTGTAACTCATTTGGGGCAAGAGAAACACAATGCAGCAGGATTAGCATGTGATGCATATGCGCCCTTGGCTGGAGCCACCGGGGTGACAGCGCCGAGGCTTCTTCTTCTTCTTCTTCTTCCCAGTAACCCAGTTCTGCGAAAAACGGACCGACCAGCTTCTGCATCCCAGATGTTGCTCTGCTGACTTGACAAGATCATGAATCGGTACAGTTGCACCCTGTGATTAAGCAGCAACACATACGGAACTGCAATAAAAACCTGTTGTGCTAACTGTCACATGAAGACACGAGAGCTGAAGTATCGGTAACATATGAAAGCATTTTTTTTTTTGACAGAAAAACTGGATTAAACTTTCTATCCAGAGGACTGCTTTTGTTATTGGATCTTGTGGGAACCAGCACATATTCATCTGGTGTGGGATATATTTACTGTGATTTGGAGCAGGCAGTCGGTGTCATCACCGCAGGATGGATGTGGGATGATATTACATACGTGAAAAATAAAAGGAAACTGATGTCTTAACCAAATGCTCCACGTAATGCACTGTCTGCCAGTTTACTGTGCACCATCTAAATCCGATCTGTAAACTGTTTTAACAAAGTTTGTAGAGATGGTATCGTTCTGTAAACACTGAAGCTATCACTGCCACTCCGACGGCTGACATTCCAACATCTGTTTCAGATCTGTTGCGAAACAAAATCACACAGAATCAGAGAAACAGAAAAGATTATGTTTTTTAAACCACGTTCAGTCCCAGATGGATCAACATGGAGCAGCTTCTTTTATATTAAATCATTTGTTGTCATTGCCTAAACCTTCTCAAGGTGGTTTTTTGGAACCCTAACACCAAAACAGGCTACAAAGCAAAGTGACCTCCAGAGGAAACCATGGAGGGTTTGGGATGGCTCGTCTGTAGAAACAGGACTGAAGAGCAGTCAACATGTGCAGGCAGACTTCTTCTCCTGACCTTAAAAGAGAGGGGGCACACATTGCATCTCTCTCTCTGTTAAGCATTCCCCTCATGTGTGGGCACATTACTCCCAGAATCCAACCCCCCCACCCCCCACCCCCAGGGAGTCCCAGCCTCATTCCTCCAGTCAGTCAGCCTGAAAGAGTTTAGTTACACAGACCAGTTCTTGACGATATGATGCTCTCTGCGATGAACCAAAGTCCTCCCCTGCTCTGGAAAGTTCTAAAGTTTGAAACATCTATCAAACCGTCAGCTGATGTTGAATGGCTCCACGCTACACTGAAGCCCAAACTATGAAGAGTCATTGTGGACCATAAAGCTGGGAAATAAGACTTTTATAAGGCCTATTACTAAAAAAACTTTTTTTTTGATTGAGCCGCAGTCCGGACTTGAACCTGGGCCACCCACTTTGAGGACTATAGCCTCCGTACATGGGGCGCGACCAAACCACTAGATCATCTGCACCCCAAATGAGCAGAGTGATGAAGAAAGAGCTGCATGACAATGTAAAACCAGATGAAGTTTAGAAGAATTATAAACATTGTTTGTTTTGTTTTTGTTTGTTTTGTTTTTCATTTTAGTTTTTTTTTTGGAGGGAGGGGTTGTTGATGCTTTTATTTAGTCAGAAATCAGGGAGACAGAGGGGGAGAGATAGAGAGAGAGCGGGGGGGGGGCTTGATATGAGGGAAAGGAGCCGCAGGTTGGACCCGAATCCTGGGCCGCCCACTCGTGGACTTGTAGCCTCTGGACATGGACCAACAGCAGGCAACCAACGCCCCCAGACTTTTTAAAATACATTTTAGTCCGACTGTTCGAAATTTTACTAAATTGAATCTGTACCAACACACCTAGATAATGCTGTTGGGGTCGATGTACTTTAGTATGCACCTCAATCAACCCCAAAACCGGCCTATAGGTGTTCTTCACAGGCTCTACAGTTACCTTTGATCTGGAAGTCTGAAATAAAAGAAACACGTAGAAGAAAGCCGGGTAAGAAAAGAAGACGATTGTATCAGCATAGTGTAGAGCAGTGGTTCTCAACTGGTCCAACCTCAGGACCCCCAAACCAACACATCAATGGATATCGCCATCCTAATTTCTGAAAATGTACAACCACATAAATGTATTTAATGAAAAATGTCAAAGTTCAGACCAAACTAAGAGACCAGACAAATCGAAACATGTTTAAACAGCATCATAGACATATTGCCACTTTTTTTTCCCAGGCTCACATATGCGACCCACTGAAACACCCCCACGACCCACTTTTGGGTCCCGACCCACCCATTTGGAACCACTGGTGTAGAATATGTATGAAAAGCACAGAGCTTGTTAACTTGTTTGTACATTGTTTGGTGATGTAATATGTCAACCGGAAGGTCCAATAGTAAGTAAAGGGGGAACATCGGGAGCCAGACATCAATCCCTCGATGCATGTATACTGCCAAAGGGTCAGAGGTCAAATGAAAGGGCTCTAATTGACTTCACTCGTACTGTTTTTTGTAAAGTTCTGGCTCAGAGAGGAGCTGACGCTAACTTTTGCTAAGCTAGTCTCTCTGAGAACTTCACATGTTTCAGAAGTGATCAGAAACAGTCCACATCAGAGCTCATGGGGAAACAATGCTGCCTCTGTTATAGTCAAGGCTCAGTTCTATTGGTCATTACTTAAGTGACAGTTATCTGTGTATCCTAAATGCTTTTTTTTTTTTTTTGCCCCTGGGATAACCAAGAGATGATCCTGGGAACTTTTTTCTACCACCACTGAATAGATCACATTTTGGTTGCCTCATCTACCTGGAAGAGACTCTGTCCCCTTTAAATGTTGTCAGTGTTATCGTACATTTTAAATATACAGTATTAAGTTCACTGCATCTTCCCGTCGAGCTGTTCCCTCCCTGTTCCTCCCGGTCTACGAGGAAACTTGACTGATCCCCTCTCTTCTCTTTCATGCAGCGTGGCAGCCTGGACGTTCCTAACCCACCGTCATGGTAACTATTCAACACTTTAGTCTTTGTTCGCTTCCACTTCCTCACTGCTGCTCCCTTCAAATGATTGTGTGCAAAACTGAAACCGGCCATTTTCACCTCCTCGATCTGCCTCTCTCTCTGAACTCCCTCCATGCCTCCACAACCAGCCACACTGTCTTTTCTTTTTCTTTTCTTCTCTTTTTAAATAAATCTCAGAACCTCTCTGCTCCTCACTCCATTTTGCTTGACTCTCACATTTTTCACAACTTTTCTTTTTCGTTTCCCCTTTTGGTGGGCCCCCTCTTTTCCCTGCATCACATACAGTGGGATACACACACTCACTGGTTCTCACAGACACAAACTACATCCTGCCTTTTGTGTACAGACAAGAGCTCTTTGTGAGCTGGAACACACAGCCTGAAACTCCTGCACACATTTCTGCAGCTCCAACTCGTACTTCAGGACACGTTCATTATTACAAGTACAGTATGACTAATGGAGTGTTGCCAGGTAGGTAATACAGTCTAATGGACCAACACCATGTTTTCAGGCATTACTCATTAACTGCCTGCAAAATGGGGTTTATGAATGGCTTAATGCTTTAAAGAGGAGGCTCCTCTAGACTAATCTCTGCGAGTTGTGGCAGGTAGAAACCACATAACCTAACAGCTCACTGGCTGGGTCAGTTTCTCACTAACCTGTTCTGCACATGTCAAAGCAAGCACACCATATTCATCTATCAAAGTGCACCTGCTAGGCACATGAAAGACACACTCACTATGTCAGTACTTTCCACTTGCATATTGAGTTTGTGTGAAGAGATAAGACCGGGGGGGCGGGGGATGACCCCAAAGGCCCAGAACTACATCTCATATTTCCTGACAATGATCATGTAATGATTTACTTACAGAATAACAAATCAGCTGAAGTGACGAGTGGAATGAAAAGTACGACAAACTCTCATTCTGGAAAAAAAAAATTCCAACACAAAGTCAAATTTTAAAGTTTCCATTTACAGAAAAATGTTGTTTTTGATTCATTGATATCAAGCAGCTAATTGCTAAATCAAACAATGCCTGTTCTTTTGCTCTAAAGAAAGCAGGTCAGAGGGGAAAAATCCCAGCTGTTTTATAGCTGCCTCCAAACCAGGCGGGGACTGAAGCTCACAGTGAATGGCTACTGCCGTAATGCTCTGCTCGCCGCATGTAAACCATGCAGCACTGTGGACGCCACGGCATCTCGCAGGACTGCGCAGTTTATCAGTATCTTGATCTTAAAAATGCAGATAAAGTCGTAGTACGATGTGTCAGGTTAAACTGGCATATCGACCAGAACAATGCATAACCAGCACAAGCATGTGGACGTTCACCTGCAAGGAGGACCGACGGCTGACGCTGCTAAATGTTAGCCACACTCTACAAATCGATTTGACATTGATTACCCACAGACCGTGAAATCCCATGTTAAGCGCAGCGTTAAATGCTTTATATGTGATTTTTTTGATCCAGCAGATGTCGCCCTTAAGCACCAGCATGAATCCAAAACAACTCGTGCTGCATTGTTGTGTTAGCATGCTAATGCTAGCGATTTTATTATGCTGGTATCTTCACACTGCATGTAAATTTACCTGAAATGAGCGTGATCTAGAAACACAGTTAAGCAGTGAGTACAGTATGTTATTCTTCTTTTCTCTAGTCCCTCAATTAAACAACTTTTATACACGAGGGGAGGAGTCAGCCGGCCGTCCTAGCGATGTAAACAAAGTGAAGATAGGACTCTGAAAACTGTGAAAACATCACAGACAGTGGGACTCGGGTGTTACACCCATTGTAGACAGTCATGACTCACAGAGTTATTTTCAGAGGATATACTTGATTTATATTATATTTAAGAGGGATTAAGCCTTTAAATTGTGCTCAATTTTGACAGTTTTACTACATCCATAATGTGTTTTTTTTTAATCATATTTGAAAAGGCTCTCTGGTATTGTATGGCAGTGCATGCAAAGGCATAACTTTCTGCTGAAGTCATTTTATCACTTTGAGTCAGTCTCACCGGCTGACCTAATGTACACAGTAAAACAGTCAGCTCAACCCTAGCAACTCCCAGATAAACAAACACACATACACACACACACACACACACACACACACACACACACACACACACACAACACTGATGAATGTATAAAGACACATTAGCTTAATCTGCACAGCTATTGCCTCTCTGATGAAGACATCTAAGTTCTCTCTCTGCCTTTCTCCATTACACACAGCAGGTTCCAAATTAGATCTTTGCAGCTTTATACTTAGAATTCACAAATACACACACACACACACACACACACACGCACACACACACACTCACGCTGCCCCAGCAACCACACAGCTGTCGGGTCTCAACAGGAGGTGCCGATGTTGTGCCCATGTGACTGCAGTCCAAAAGCTCCGTCCCAGATTTAGTTTACAAACGCAAACTAGACACCCCAGCTATTCTTGTACATCGCAGATATCTCGCTGCCTGACGAGAGGTGAGATTGTGAAGAGCAAACCCCCCGACTGTAACGCCCCCCTTTCCAATTAACCCCCGGGGGAGGCTGCATCACATTAAGAGCCATTAAGAGCTCTTCAGCTTCAGGGCTCAGTGAAGACAAATCAGTTTGATTGTTTTTCTTCCTGTGCTTTTCCACTATCGAAACCTCAAACAACTATTTAACATTTTGTCTCTTCGCTGCCACTCTGCAAACAGAAAGCCAGAATCTTCACACCGTGTAACTAACATGATAATGAACCAAATTACAAACATAGCTGCTCTGTGTTTAGGAGGGAGGATGTGGGGAGTCTGGAACCCCAAAGACCCTCTAAGTCTCCTCTCCAGTGCTGATACATGACCCTGAAGGCGACAGGTCAGTGCAAGTGTCACTTGAAATCTGCACTGCATTTGTTTCCATTGAGCCATGTGACACCATGCACAGCACACAGACATGCCCCACTGACATATAATTACTGCCGCTTCCAAACGGTCCACACGGACAAATCGGGGTTAAGCACTTTGAGATTATGTCGGTATTTATGAACGCTGCAAATAAATTAGCCTTTTAACACACGTTACAGAAACTTCTGTTGAAGCCAGCTGAGTCTCTGACTTTGTGAAATATTAATAAACCAGTGTTCATTTCAGGAAAGGACAACAGGACCAACATTAACCTTTTTCCCGATGACGATGATGAGGAGCTAAAAAAGGATTTTTGATTCAAAAAGAAAATCTGGCGACAAGTTTGCGTTAAAAAGATGAATAGGGACTCAAATGTTAGTGGTGGTGGGTTGAACTTTTGAAATCTGTGATCATTTCTGATCATCTGTCGATAAACACAAGGAAGAGAGGGAGTGTGTGCGATTCCAGGCAGAGAGCGGGACGAGCAGTCGTGCATGTGTGTGTGTGTAAGTGTGTGTGTGAAGCAGGAGGACGGAGCTGACGCGATAACGAGCATTAACGAGCTAATGAAATGAAAGCTTAATAATCAGTGTTGGACATTGTGAATGGGGAAAGGACCGTCTGTTTGTGTCTTTAAATGTTTTTGCTATAAATACATTCCCTCACTCTCTTCACTCAGCAGTACCCACCTCCATCCACAGCCCTGCCAGTTGCAGGCGAAAGGCTTCTCCCCCGTGTGCCTCCTCAGGTGGGCCTTCAGGTGGCTGCTCTTGGTGTACATCTTAGTGCAGCCGGGAAAGTTACATTTGTGCATTTTTATAAGATCCGCCACTGGGTTCTTCGGGAACTTTTGACCTCCAAGAAGAATGCGGCTCCCTGGCCAACTGAGCCGTCTCCAAGCCCCAGAGGTTTGGCCGCGATCGGGACGGGAGCAATGCGCACAAACTTGGAGATGTTGAGGTTGGGGGATGGTAGGATGTGGGGCACCAGGGCAAAGGTCTGACCTTGGATGTTGACCAGCAGCTGCGCCACTTTGATGTCCGAGGCCGGGGCAGGCTGTGGGGGGCGGCGGGGCTGCTGGAGTCAGAGGTGCCACTGTGGGCTCCTGCTTGATCTGAAGAGGCTGGATCTGCAGGACAACCGGCACCCCGCTACTGTCTGAAGATTTGTTTCCTGACGCCTTCTCGGCTCCTGTGCTTGATTCATTCACGGGGTTAAGTGGTTCAGTTTTGGTCTCGGAGGAGGCAGCGGTGTCTGGGACAGTTTGGTCTGAATACTTGGCCTCGTCCTCCAGTTTAGGCTCAGGAGAAGCCTCCCCGACCCACTCGAGGCCCACTCCCAGACCTAAAGCTTCCTCCAATCCCGCTCCCAACCCTGGGCAGCTTTCTCTGGCCTCCTGCTTCATTGTCACCACCTCCATATTCTCCTCCAAGAACTCTTCGATCTCCTCCAGCGTCGGCTGGAAAGACCCTCGAAGTTGCTCCTCCGTCTCCACGTTGGACCAGGTGAGGAAGTCGAAATGTTCCACCTTTACGGGCTCGCGTTTGGGAAGCTCGTCCCTCCGCGTGTCGGAAAGGAAAGAGGATAACGGTAGAGGTGGGCCGCACCCTCCAGGCCCATTGTTGGCTCCTCCTAAAGAGGCTTGAGACAGCAGGTGATCCAGGATGCTGTCCTGGCTCTCCGTACTAGAGTTGCTCTCATAGCTGGAGCTGAGCACCTGAGAGTCCGGGCTGGAACAGGAGCGAGGGCTGGACGACTCGCTCAGGTCGTCCTCTGAAAAAGGCGATGGCATCACCTGGTAGGAGTCGAGGTCTGTCACCATGTCTGACAGCGAGTAGGCCTGAGGAGAGCCACCGTAAGGAAGGAGAAGAAAAGTCCCCTCGCTAAACGGGGAGTTATCCACCATCCCTTGATGGTGCCAAAACTGCGGTCCCTTCGCTGGACTCGGAGTCTGTGTTTAGGATGATTTGGTAAGAGTGCTGCTTGGTTGAGTTAGACCAAACAAAGCGAGGTCATCGAGGCCAAACGTCCCACACGGGGAGAGATAGAGAAACACCTGCTCTGTTCTCTCGGAGGTGGAAAAAGTGAGCGTCAGGAAAAACACTCTTACAATCCAAGGTCTGCAGCCAGGACACAGTTTGTCTGAAGAGAAAGAAATAGAGAAAGAGTTTCATAATCTTGATCTCAAAAACACTGAAAAGGACAAAATCCAATGTTTAGATTATATATCTACTAAAAAATGTATAAGGTACAATATCCTCTTATCCACCCATCAGCAAATATAAGATCTCACTCATCCTGTATTATGCACATTTTATAAAACTATAGCGTCGGATTTCTGACCTGCAAGTTGATGAAAGCCATTAAAGGTGCACTGTGTAGATTTGGTGGTGACATTTGAAAGATGGAGAAGTGAAACAATTCTCGGCTATATTTTCTGAACTAAATACACAAATTTTATTCAAAGGAAAAATGGCTCCCTGGATCACTGTTTGGAGCTAAGAAGCTAGCAGGAGAGTTACTGTTTCACTGTTGCGGGCCCACCACCATAACTTCTCACGTAGTATTTTATCTTCAAACTGGTTCCAGGGACCAAATTTTCCTCTGAGGACAGTTTGCGTATAGAGTTATGAGCATAGAACACAGAATCTGTACATTTCTCTAACCTTCACATTTCTCTACCAAAACTCCAAAGTGCATCTTTAAGCAGCAGCCATCTCACCACCTCAGTAACAAAGCACAGCAGGGTGGTCATGGTATCCAAAATCGATATGGATACGTTTATCAGTCCCACAGCAAGAATTAGCAGCCAATATTTGGCAATTTCCTTCTTTTAATATCCCCAAAATTGCATCTGTACGGGCTCGTTGCCGATGTGTGCAATTTGGACAGGGTCACCTCTTCTGCTCTCTCTCTGTTTGTAAGAGACAAAAACTTCATTTTTACATCGTCACGAGACGCCAAAACTACTTGAGAAACATCAGTCTTTGCATGTTTGTTTGAAATGACCACCGCTGCTCTCTCATGCGATCGCAGCAGTTTTAGTTTCTTTAGCTCTAAAAGCTTTATTATTTGCCAATACAATACAATGATCATTACTGTATCAGAGAGTGTTTGGTTTTAAAATATGCGGTATCGAAAAGTATTGAAAATCTGACAGTGGGCGCAAGAGGGTGGACGCTGAGGGTGCTGCAGCACCCCCTATCAACGATGGGAGGAACACACGCTATGTATAGAAAGTTCACTATTTTAATATAACGATTTGAACATTTGTTTTTAAAATTATTATTTCAAAGATTTATTTTGGGGCTTTTTATGATTTTATTAGAGAGACGGGGAGCTGACAAAGCTTCAAATTGTGGAGAGAGAGAAAGAGAGAGAGAGTGGGGCCGCTGTGGACAGAGGGAGAGAAGCCCATCTTAATGTTGAATGTTATTGTACTGTAAGGTTGACCTTCGAAATTACTATTTCCAGATGGAAAAGTTCAGTTTTTTCCTGTTAATCAACCTGGTATTTGATTTCCATTATTTTGGTTTTACTCCAAATAGAGCTACAATAATCTGACAATAACTTTTAAAAATGTGGATCCTATTTTAAGATCAATAAACAGTTTGATACAAGCACAAGCTAACCTTGACCTTACACTTTACACACATTGTATTTTTCCTTGATGTGCTTCTCTTGTAATCTTATCTCTCCTTTAGTATACAGTAATGATTTGGTATATTTTTATCTATTGTTTTACAACTTCTTCATTTATTGTCCTATTGTTTCAACCATTGCCCGTTTTTATGATGGGCCTTTAATTGTGACTCACAATAATCGTTTCTTTCCATGCAGTATAAGGTTCAGGTTCCACTTTCAGCACCTTTTGTATTCTTAATGTCCTACAATATACTCTTCATAAATAGGTTATTTTCCTGGAACAGGGAGCGTTATTAAACCACCCCCACCCCTGCATCCGCCCTCCCCTTTCCAGGGGCCCCTGCATGGTCGGCGTGACCGAGAGTAAACCCCGACCAGAGAAAGAGAGAGGGGGGGGGGATAAATAAAACTGTCCACATTATTATCAGACAGCTCCGCATGGGGCAGCGTGGAGCTGCGTGCGCTCCTGCCCTGCATACCTAAATCACCTGCCCTGCTGCTTGTTTACGGGACGATTAAAGAGCAATAAATCAAGTCAGATGAAAGCGAAGGAAGCTGGGAGGACGAAAACTTTGAATATGAGTCACCAGATTCATCATTTTAATGACATTGTTTCCACCTCGCATTGCACACATTGCACATTTTGATTCATTTCGCATGATCATGGACACGTCTCACTTTTGTTTAGTTTATTACTGACACACATTTTTGGCCAAACAATATTTCAGAGTTTTGTATGGATACAAACAGTTAAACCTATAATCAGCTCAAAACTCTCCCCGATTGTGCATGCAGCATGGGTTAAGACAACTTATAAATCCTGTCACATGCGCTGCTGCAATCACGAGACCCCAAAAACTCATTCATTTCGCCTCTCCCGTTATAACTGCGACGGATAAATGCAATAAACTACCATCATTGTAACCTCAAAACGAAGCGTGGGGACAGTGTGCTGTGTGTGTGTTGTTTTTTCAGCCAGTGCTCTCCGCGGTGCATTACGCATGAGTAGGCGCGCGTCTCCGCTCTCAACGTAAACATGTTTTCGTCCAGCCTTGCTGCAGCATATGGCACTGCAGCCCCCTGAACACATCAATACAACAAAAACGAACCCTCCAGTCTTACCTTGTTCACTCACAGCTAATATATAATCCCAAAACAAAAGGCGCGATAAGGAGCGTTCTGAATCCGTTAAATCCGATGGGGCAGTCTTTTGCCAGCGCAGGTTTTGCCCTTGAGGCTCGCCATGCAGCAGCAGCAGCAGCAGCGTTCACACAGGACTGACTGAGCGCTGCCTGAGTTGTACTATATGACTGTCACATGACTGCCCGTGTGTGTTACAGGGTTACTGTAGTGAGAAATAAGAGGCTGCCTCTGAAGGCTCGTCCCCGCTCTGCAGCTCCATTGGCTGTATGTGGTGGCGATGGAGGCGGGCCGTGTGGTGTGTCAATCTGAAGCTCTGCTGCATGGAAAAACATGTGCGAGGCCTGAGGGAAGCGAGGAGGGCCAGTGGTAACGTGTTTTCGTGAAAAACTTACAATCACAGAGGACGGTACAGAAGTGGGTTGTTTGGAATTTGTGTGTTTTGTTAAAGGAGAATTACGCAATGATTTTTCCCCTCATACCTGCTGATCCCAATTTAAAATAGGCTACAATTAAGTCTATTAATAATGATGTATTAATGTGTATTAACGTGCAGTAAAATGAATGAAATAAACACATCAGGCAGAAAAGGTGATTCTGTTCATCACATTCACACTGCAGCTGTGTCTCATACCAAACTTACTATGAAAGTTGTGTTTATAACAGAATAAACTTTTTTCTGCTGGGCCCCCTTTTGGCAGATACAAGTATTTTCTTTCAAGCACCACCACCCCTCGCCCCTCACCACACTACACATTGACACATACACATGTATAGGTATACACTAAACTTACTGTGAGTCAGCCTAATCTTTGATATCAAGCTTTTAGAAATTGATTTCAAACATTGTCTGCTGAAAGAAAAGCAACTTCAGCGTGACAACAAACTGAAGAAAAAAAACCTTAACAAGCAGCAACTACAGAGCAAGCAATGAAAAGTGATACTGTAACATGATACTTCCACATGTTTAAGATGAAATCAGAGTCAAAACAGTTTAAAACATGACTCTCTGTAGATGAATTGATGCAAATCTTTTAGGACTTGTATTTCCAGTCCTGCAATATTTTCAGTGACTGGTGTGGGCTTGTGTTGTCGTGCGTCAGATCTTAAGCCTGGGGCGTAGCTGTGAGACAGACACTGTTACTGCATTTTCCGTCTCCAGTTTTGATTTGTATTTTGTGTCGGTTGAGTCAGAAAAGCCTCTTACAGGGAGGATGTTACAAAAAAAAAAGAGTGGCTGTCTTCATATTTAAATATAATGCACTCCACTCCAGGACACCACGACCAGCCACTATGACAATAATATATATAAAGTAGAATTGCTATGTGTCCATTTCAACAAACACTGAACATGTTGACACTTTGTAAAGTCAAATGTAGAACTGTCGTATTGGATTGCATGAGATTGCATGGGTGTAATTGTGTGACTGGTATGGGTGTGTAATTGTTGATAAATACTCAGTGCCTACAACAATTCAACTCAACTACAGTTAGGTTGATGTTAGCTGTGGCTTATGTAGCCTTTAGCCTTTTAGCCTTAAGCTGCAGACAGAGACTTCATTTAAGGACATTTATCAGACGTCACTCAGCTCCCACCCCCAAATATGAGTAAGCAGTCTCCCACACCCTGAGCTGGTTTTCCCCACTCGTCAAGGACAGTGGAAGGGGATTATCAATAATTCATTATAAAACAGCAGCTGGGTGAACAGGATCTTTTGGGGGGTTTTTTACACAATAAACAAGACACATAAATGAATCAAAGAATGAAAAAGAAACTAAATGAAAACACAGAGAATTACATATTAATATAGATTAAAACAAAACCAAAACAATAGCACAGCCCGGACCCCCCATGGTTAGAGCTGGGAATCTTTGGGTGCCTCACGATTCGATTTCGATTTAAAGCGATTCTGGATTCATGATTCAAAGTCTATTTATGAATGAGTACATACTTCAGGATCTACTCCAGTCAGCTGTGAGACTGGCTGAATTTCTTGTTGCTCTTTTTGCCATTCTACTGAGTTAAAGAGCTACCTTTAGCACTTAGCAGGAGGTGACTGATTTTTGGAAGTTGTGAATTGATTTTAAATCTTAGAAGAGAGGACTCTCGATTTTTACATAAATCAATTTTTTCCCCACATCTACCCATGGTTTCTTTGACACAGACCAACATTAGGGACAATGATCTTGAACTTAATCTGTTGTAGAAGATTACCAAACTCTCCAGCATATCTGACCGGACCTTGTGGTGATTGTGACGTGCTGGTTTCAGGGGTCAGAAAATAACTTTCTACTTCTACGTCATGTTACATTTTTCAGGCATGTTAAACACAGAATGTCAGTTACAGCTGCCAGTAGAGCTAAGTGAGGTGGGGGGGGGGGGAGGCCCTCTGAGGATATCAGTGACAGGCCTCACAGTAACAACAACACTTCTTCACACAGAGAGGAACTCACTCTCTCAGGAACAATGTGGGCAAACCAATCGAGCATGACAGGAAGTGTTTCAACAGCATTAAGTTGTACTTGAACATGCTGAGAGACACATGATCACACACACACACACACACACACACACACACACATACACTGAGGGTTTGTTATTTTGGGAATGGCCGCTGGAATTAGAGTGGATCTAGTTAGCTACAAGGTGGCATACTTTTTGTTTTCTTTTTTTTTTACTCACTTTGCCTAATTATAAACCGAGAGGGAACGTCCAAAAATAGACTGTTCTCCTTTTTGCTTTGTTATGATTATGCTTGTGATTGCAGGGAAAGTCAATCTGTTCCAATTGTTCTACGTTTCCTGAGAGAAACAGATACTGATGACCGATAAAGGGCTTAAAGAAGTCCTTACAGTAAAAACAGATGTTTTACTGGAAGTACTTTTACACAGGGAACAGACACATGAACACTTTCTTTACGTATACTTTTCAAAAAACTATTTTTATCCTTGTCACAAAAATTAAAGGTCACATATTATTCTCATTTTTAACAAGTTTAAATAAGTCTCAGAGCTCCCTAAAACATGTGTGTGTGAGGTTTCTTGTTCTAAATCCACTCTGATCCTGTATTTGATCATGTCTATAAACCCCTCTATTTCAGCCCTGCTCAGAACAGGCTGTTTCTGTGTCTGTACCTTTAAATATGTAAATGAGCTGTGTCTGACCACGCCCCCTCTGGGGAAGGGCTCGGGTGTACTTGGGCTTTTTCGCTCCATGTCCTATTGTTTACAGTGAGAAGGCAGACTCAGAGGGCAGAACAAACACCTAGCTGTGGGAGTGTCACCCACCTGGGGGAGGGGTTACTGCCCTTTGTGATGTCATGAAGGGGAAATCTCCAAACGGCCTGTTTGAGCACACATTTTCTGAAAAGTGGAGCAGGCGAAGGATGGAGAGGATGGACTTTTCTCATCATTGGGGACTAAGGGACACATATGAGTGTTCGAAACATTCTAAAAGCCTAACTATTTTTACTTTCACATGCAAAATAATGGAATTTCAAACATGCAATTAAGTGATTTACTGCGATTAACTAATGAAATCAAGCGATTAATCACGATTAAAAATGAGTATTGTTTGACAGCGCTGGTTAAAACAGCAGTTCATGGGTTATCAGCGACATGGGGGATTGAGAGGGCGACATGGCCTTAGTTATGTTCGTCATGGTGCAGCTCCTTTTTAGGATTGTTCGCGTCACATCGCTGGAGGTTAGGATCAGTGTGACTTTTAACTCATTTGCAGAAAACCTCTCACCCTGACCACTTTTTTTCCCCCAAGATTTGTTTTTGGCATTTTTATGACTTTATTAGAGAGACAGGAAAGTCGCTAGAGAAGGAAATCAGCGAGCAGAGAGTGGGAAATTATATGCGGCAAAAGAGCCACAGGTCGGTTTCAATCTGGGCTGCCTGCCTTGGGGACTGTTGGCTCTGTACATGGGGTGTGCAAACTAACCGCTCGGCGACCGGTACACCATCCTGTCCACTTTTAAAGGTATAATTCAGAATTGATGCACAAATGTGATGCTTTAAGAGGTTTTATGTACAAGTTTATTGTGCAAATGTAACTTACTAAAATCTGTGTTTGGTGTCATTTGGCAGCATTTTGGTTCAGAGCTAGAGATGTAGGTATACCAGAGAGCAAAGTGACCGGCCTCATACCATTACTCTGTCCTCCCCCTTTTAACCCCACATCATCTCCAGTGAAGTATATCATAAAGGGCTTGACCTGGCTCTGCGGGGGGGCCTTTACAGAGTGCTTTACTGTAACCGCATCTTTATTAGGGCGACTACGTTGTACAACAGACAGAGCAGCATGTTTGATCTCACTTAACCTCTTAATCCAGCCATCAAACAGCTGGGAGCCAGAAGACAGACACTGTCCCTGCAGGACGGCTCTGCCCGGCCCACAGATTACAGACTCGGTCTGGAGGAGATGAGAGCGATACTGCATCGAGGATTAGTCCCGTGCCCTTTCCCCCATTTCTTCATCTCTGTCTCCGACGTGCCCGGGGTGTGTACAGGCTCAAATGATCTGATAGTAGATGTTGAAATCTGTTTTTTTTGTGTCCATCCAGGGATGCTTCAAATCTGAGGAGGTCACAAAGCTTATGGTGGAGCTTTCTAAATGTTAAGATAATTACCACAGCTAAATAATGCAAGTCAAATATAACGACTGACAATATGACTCACCTCTTTGCCTCAACTCCTCAAGCAATGGTCATCTGTCTCCTAAACAAAAATACAGGAATACATGAATTAGACTTCATAAGTAGTCCACGAGTTAGGTCGCAACAACTGCGTCGTCTTTACACAGCGCAGTGACACAAATACACAAAGCCAGGTTTGTACAGAGTGAGACAGACAGAAGTCTTATTATGAAGGATGAAGGGAACTGAACACTTCATCAATATTAAACCTGTTATAAAGGAAATATGGGATGCTTTCAATATTTTACTTCCCTCAAAATTTCTACTAAAATCTTAGGAGAGACTTCACACTCTATAAATATCTTTTCCCCTGCATGTCCTAACTACCATGCAGCTTTAGGTTTCTCTCTAGGACTGAACAATGTTGTTGATGAATGTGAAATGAGGCTTATGGCCATTTTGGACTAAAAACACATGGACCTGTGGTCATGATCGGTGAGTGAAGCCAAGTGTAGGAACTGATGTGTGA